GTTCCTCACGGACTCCGAGAAGAAGCTGCAGCTCTACGAGCCCGAGTGGAGCGACGACATGGCCAAGGCGCCCAAGGGCTTGGGCAAGGGGGGGTCCAAGGGCCGCGAGGCTCCGCTGATGTCCAAGACGCTGTCCAAGTCAGAGCACTCGCTCTTCCAGGCCAAGAGCAGCCCGGCGGGCGGCGCCAAGACCCCCTTGGCCCCGCTCGCGCCCAGTCTGGGAAAGCCCAGCCGGATCCCTCGAGGACCCTACGCGGAGGTCAAGCCGCTCAGCAAGGCGCCTGAGGCGGCCGTGAGCGACGACAGCAAATCCGACGACGAGCTGCTCTCCAGCAAGGCCAAGGCGCAGAAGGGCTCCGGGCCGGTGCCCCCGGCCAAGGGCCAGGAAGAGCGCGCCTTCCTCAAGGTGGACCCCGAGCTCGTGGTGACGGTGCTGGGCGACCTGGAGCAGCTGCTCTTCAGCCAGATGCTGGGTGAGTCCCGCCGCCCCGCCCCGCCCCGCCCCTGGCTTTCTCCCGGCCAGCCGCAGGGGAAGGTGTGGGGAAGACGAAGCCCCCTCTCCTGTGCCCTACCCGATAAGCTTTCCTGATCGAGGGTCAGGTTGTGAGGGGGCGTTGCGCCCAGGTGTGCAGAGCTGGCCCGACTCCAGATGCGCAAGGCTGAAGTGTACCTTCTTAAAGACATTACCAGGCGGGAACCCAGGCTCCCCTCCGGCCTGCCTGAGGTGAGGCTGGACAATGGGGTGGGGGTGGGTCACAGAGCCCAGAATCCCAATATGGCAAAACCTGGGGCTGGTGTAGACCTCAGTGTGACATGGTCTGCGATCCACAGGAGCATCCAGCACTGCTAGGGGAGTGTCCGGTGAGAGCCCGGATCTAGAGGACAGATGTGGGAGAGCAGATGTGAGGGCTGGTCGGCCCGGAACACAGCTGGGGCGCCACTTCCTCTGGATCCCGAGTGGAAGCGAGAGTCGGATTTCCCGGGTGTGGGGTTCTGGCAAAGAGAAGCGTCTAGGACCAGGGGGGCAAGCGGGCCGCCAGCTGCGCGCATCCGGGTGCGCGTCCTATACCTCGGCCTCGACCCGGGCTCTGGCCCCAACCGGTTCATCCCCAGGTCTTTCAGGGCGTGTGGAGATGTCTGGGCTTTTGCGCCGAGACTTCTGGTGCACCAGGAAGCCTTTGCCCTTTGGCTAATGGAAGCCGAGCAGGCGGGAAGGGAGGAACAAAGCTTGCTGGGGTGGAGGAAGCGCAGAGCTGCTCCATTGTTCTCCGAGCCTGAAGAGTCCCTGCAAAAAACCCGGAGCGGGCCCCGGAACTGCGTTTCCTTTCCCTAGAGAGCCCCTGCCCTCCGAGAGGGGTGGGTCTGGGATGTGCCGGACGCTGGGCTGCCATGCCTCCGGAGCTGGCGCGAGCCGCGCGGGGGCCACGGGAGGAGGGCGGCGAGGTCTGGGGCCCAGGCACGCTGCCTCGGCTGCGTGGACTTGTTGCGGTGGCTGGGATGTGGGTCCTCTGGCGCCGAGGGACCCGAGCTTCCCTTCCCGGGTACCCGGTAGGCTGCCTGCCCGCTGGGGGCTGGGAAGGGGCGTGTCCGTGCGCATGTGAAGGGGCGGGGCCGAGTGACGGGCTGCGGTCGGAGTGACGAGCTTGGCGGGTGGGGATGGATGGCAGAGCTGGCCTGCAGGCCCTGGAGAAGGCGAAGCTGGAGGAGACCGGTTTGGCCTGCAGCAGTCTTCCCAGGGACCCTGACTCCGGTGTGGGCCAGGATGAGGGTCCTCTGACCGGGGCAAGGATTTGAACCTCCTGAGAACCGATCCTCACGTAGGAGGCCGCAAATGGGCATTGCAGAGGCAATCAGGAGACCCAACAAGGGCAAAAGAGGAAGAGTGGCCTTTTCCTTCTGAGAGCCCCTCCTGAAAGTGGGGATGGTGGTGGGCGAGAAGCTGACTGGGCAGCCTCACTGCAAAGGGAGAGTACTGCTCCTGTGCTCAGTGCTGGGCCCTGTCAGAGGCCCTGCCCTCAAGGAACTTACAGTCTATTGGGGCAAGACAGACAAAGAAAAAAAATTCTAGACATCAAGGAGGGCTATGGAGCAAATGAAACCGGACCTTGTGACAGAGAGGATCTGGAAAGGGGAGGCCTTAGGGACTGAGGAGAGTGGGAGAGGAAGACATTGTGAGAGAGACAGAGGGAGGCAGAGACGACAGAGATGCACGTGGGGAGGGTAAAGGAGTGTCAGGGGCACAGGATAGTGGAGGGTACAGACCCATTTTCAAGGTCAGGGCTTCACCTGTTTGGGATGACTTAGCTGATCTGGGCTCTCTGCAGACCTGGAAGTCCCCACACTGCCCCATAAGCTTTCCCTCTGAAGCCCTCTTAGTTGCTTCTCAAGAGGTGGGGATTACAGAAACCCTGACAAATAGTCCTGAGCTGGCTAGGGAGGAGGGTAGAGGACAGGACAGGAGGAGAAGCTGAGCTATGGTCCCTTATTACTGCTCAGCAGCTAACCCCTTTCAACGTACGCTTAGACAGGGACCTCTCAGCAACCTTGCAGGTGAGCAGAGAACACCTCCACTTCCCAGCGGGGGAAATGCAGGGTCAAAAGGATTGAGGACTTTGAAGTCATCCATGCATTAGTGGTAGAAGGGAGATTCTGCATTTATCTCCTGAGTCCAAAGTCATAGCTCTGCCTAGGATACCTGCTTGAGAAATGGAAGAGTTAGGGCAAAGAGGGGACTGACCAAAGCTGTGTCTGCTGGGCATGGGCCACCAGAGCTGATGTGATGACCCTACAGAGGACCTGAGGGGATCAGCTCTCTGGCAGGGGAAGAGCAGTGGAAATTGCCAAATATGCTGGTCTGTCTCCAGCTGAGAGTGGAGTGTGTGTGTGTGGGGGGGGGCGGTGGTTCTGGCCCTAGAGGGCAGAGCTTGGCATCAAATGGTGGCAGGGAGGGGAGGAGAGGAGATGGTGATCTCCAGGCAAAGCTTTTCTATGTGTGAACAGTGGAGGACAGACTGCTTGGGGGAAGGAGAGGTTAACAACAGAGAGGATCCATCTCCCAGAGCCCATGAAGGTGTTTAGGTGTGAGGACAAGCCCTCAGTGGACAACAGGTTGGTCTCTGGGGAGAATGACTGCCTTAATGTTTCAGGACGGCGACTAAAGACACTGGGTATTTGTTCCCACCTGTGAGACTCAGTGTCTGGTTACACTCACTCTCTCATACCATCCCAGACCAGATCCAAGAAGCTGCCAAGACCCAGTTTCTCAGGAGGGGGTGGAGTGGAAGAAAGGCAGCCCAAAATCAGTCTTTCTCGAATAAAAGGGAAGAATGGAAACCTGATCATCCCCTTCCCAGAAATCAGCTGGGGTCCCAGATGGTCTAGGCAGGCTCCCTGTCCCTTTCCTAGCCTTGGAAGCTGCCAAGTTACTAGGGTCCCGTTGGGAAACCCTAGAAACTTGGAAGACTGAGGCGCCAATTCCAGGAATCAGATGCCTTTGGATCCTGGCCCAGTAGTCACATCAAGCAGTTTGGCTCCCAGAGGAAAGACTACCAGGCCCTTGGCCTGGGTCTGGGGCTAAACTGGAGACTGCATTTCTGGGTTTCCTGTCTAGGAGTCCTAAGCTTTGTAACCTCCTTTGGGACTCAATTTCCCCATTTTTGAGTGGAAGAGACTCTCCTGTGTCTCATCCTTACTCCACAGGATGGGAAGGGCGGGTGCAGATTAAGGTAATCAGACCTTGCAAATGTTCCAGGTGGCTTAAAGAGAACCTATATTAGGCCGGGCTTGGTGGCTCAGCATGTAATCCTATGCTTTGGGAGGCAGAGATGAGTGAATTGCCTGAGCCCGCAGGTTTGAGACCCACCTGGGCATCTTGGTGAGCCCTCATCTCTACAATAAATCAAAAAATTTAGCCAGGCATGGTAGTACGCGCCTGTGGTTCCAGCTACTTGGAAGGCTGAGACCGAAAGATTGCCGGAGCCCAGCGGGTCGAGGCTATGGTGGGCGGGGGCGTGCCACTGCACTCCAGTCTGGGCGACAGAGCGAGACTCCAACTCAAAAACAAAAACAAAAACGAAAAAATAAAACAAGAGAACCTATATTAATACAGAGCAATTAAATACAGATGCACCTTAATTTACTATTGGGTTATATCCTGTTAAACCCATCATAAGTTTAAAATATCGTAAGTTAAAAATGTATTCAATGGCAGGGTGCAGTGGCTCATGGCTATAATCCCGGCACTTTGGGAGGCCGAGATGAGAGGATTGCCGGAGCCTATGGGTTCGAGACCAACCTGGGCAACATGGTGAGACCTCATCTCTACAATAAATAAAAAAATTAGGCAGGCTTGGTGGCACATGCCTGTAGTCCCAGCTACTTGGAAGGCTGAGGCAGAAGAATCACCTGAGCCCAGCAGGTCAAGGCTGTGATAGCCGTGAGTGTGCCACTGCACTCCAGCCTGAGTGACAGAGTGAGACTCTGACTAAATAAAAATATGTATTCAATACACCTCACCTACAAACTTCATAGCCTAGCCTAACCACTTTTTTTTTTTGAGTTGGAGTCTCACTCTGTAGCCCAGACTGGAGTGCAGTGGCCGCTCCCGGCCACTGCAGCCTTGACCTGCTGGGCGCTGGCGATCCTTCCGCCTCAGCCTTCCAAGTGGCTGGAACTACAGGCGCGCGCTACCACGCCCGGCTAATTTTTGATTTATTGTAGAGATGAGGTCTCGCCAAGTTGCCCAGGCGGGTCTCGAACCCGCGGGCTCAGGCAATCCACTCACCTCAGCCTCCCAAAGGCGCGGTAGTACAGGCTGAGCCACCAAACCCGGCTTAGCCTAACCTATCTTAAATGGACTTAGAACAATTAATATTATGCAAAATCATCTAACACAAAGCCTATTTTACAATAAAGTGTTGGCTATCTCTGTAATTTATTGAATACTGTACTGAAAATGAAAAACAGAATGGTTGCGTGGGTATTCCACGTAGTTTCTACTGAATGTATATCACTTTCACATGATAGTAAAAGTTGAAAAATCAGAAATCGAATCATCATAAGTCAGGGTCCCTCTGTACTACAGTAACTTCCTAAACCACACATTCTTCCTACCTCATTAACCATTGGCCGAAGGATCCCAAAGCAAAATTATTCCGTTGACTCCCCAAATGGTTAGATTTCTCCATTTAGTCTTCCAGGAAAAGGGATCAAAGTAGGACAGCTAAGACTGCCCAAGGTCAGGGTGTAAAACAACCCAAGAACCTGGAGTTCCTAGTCCCATTTCCTCCAGGAAGGTGTCTGGACCCACACAGGGGTTGCCATGACAACAGTTAGGCCCTCAGAAGCGCAGGCCAAACAAACGAGGAAGAAAGGCAGGAAGCCAATTGGTTGTTGTGGGTTTTTTTGTGCGATGGAAGGGGGTTACTCCAGAGAATATGCTCTGGGATGCTTTGAGCAGCAGGGGATAGAAATT